TACTGAGGCCTAAAGGTATTGAGTGACTTGTACAAGACCCTGTGTCTAGTAGCAGAATATACAAGGTGGAGAGGCAGCTATCATACTGGGCAACAGTCATAGTCAAAATCTTGGAGAATATATTACTTGATAAGTAAAATGCAATTCTGGGAGCAGAGAAGCAGTTTTGGTGTATTTACTGTCTATTTAACTACCTTGAATCTACTCTCTGATTTAGCATCCATGTGGACCCATCAAAACTACTTGGAAGGAACCTACTCAGTCAGTAAAGAATCTGCCTGCAGCGAAGGAGACCCAGGTTCGATCCCAGGGTCAGGAAGGTCCCCTGGAGAAGGAAATTGCAGACCACTCCAGTATCCTTGCCTAGAGAATCCCATGGACAGAGGAGCCTGGCTGGCTACAGTCCATGGGGTTGCAAGAGTGGGACATGACTTAGTGACTAAACCACCACCACCTCAATTTTCTGGAATGTTTAAAGATGGTTTGTGGAGGCCCAGCACTTTGTATTAGAGCTTCTATGCTGCTCCAGAGTCTGTAGCAACATCCTATGATGAAATAAACTTACATTTGGGAATCTGCTTGATGTGCTCACTGACTTCTATTATTCCTCGCGGGATTTATGATTTAATTGAGATACAGTTTGTACATTTACATTTAGTTGTTCCCTAACCTGGGAGTTAGGTGCTTTATTCTCTTTCCTTTTGGTTTTCCATATATATCATCACGAATTCAAATGGAAGGCCCAGTCATTTGAAGAGTGATTATTTAACCACAATTCTTATCTTTTTATAGAAGGGTAGAACTTTCTCTTTTGGATATATAATGACATTGGTGTATACATCACCTGTTATAAATTGATACTATCCATAGTACTAATAGCTATAAGTCTGAACTCTAACTGATGGCTTCCATTTGCTTCTTGGAGAAAAAGTATATGCTAAGCATATGATTTAACTGGATTAAACTCTTTTTATATTAGTTGCATCTTAGCAGGTTAAGAAATTGTGATGTGTATCAAACAAATAGGTTCAACTCTTATCAGGCACACTTCTTTATGTAATACAGCTTTTAATCATTTAACTTTGAAGTATAAAAGTAGTTATATGTACAAGTATGAAACAGCAAAAGTGTTCCCAATAACTTTATAATATGTATCCCTCAGTGATAAAACTTTATATAAGATAAAAATTATGCATATTGAGAATTTATAAAAGGATCTGATGAAGATTTTGATCTGTAATTTTGTATTACTTTCAACTGAGAGTCTGTGCATTATTTCTCAGAACCCCAGGACACTCTAATAACATGACCATATAAACCTATACTGCATCGTTATCTTTGTCAGTACTATCTTTTATGCAATTGGTAGTCTTTAGGGAACCTTAATTGCTAGCTATCTCTTAGCTACTTAAGGGCAATCTTGGAACAATTATCATGTATTTATGGGAATGAGGCATTTATTTATTTATTGTCTTTCTCCTAAAAATCCCATAGCATTTGAGTCAAGAAGATAACAGTATAAACATGCCCACTTATCTCTGTAGCAATTAATCCTTTCTGCATCTCCACCATCCACTTCAGCATCACCACACTACCACAGACCCACATAGGGTATCATGGTAACAAGTGAAAATTACAATGATTATTGCCACTCAGAAGCCTATTGAAGCTATCCTTTCTCAATTAGTCTTTTTTTTCTTAACTTATCTCTCTTTATCTTTTTCTTCATATGAAATAAGGACCTTCACTTAGAAATCATACAAATTAGGCTAAGTAAAGGTCACTGGTCTTAACTTTATACAAGATTGTTAGAGGCATAAAGCAATCAATGGGCTAATTGTTTTGATGTTTTTGTGAAATAAACTGATTATTTCAAACTAGCAGACAAGTGCCTTAAATTATCTTATTAAACCTATTCAGTTGATTTAGAATAAAAGATTCCTACTTCATAAGACCAAATTATATATGATATTGTATTGGTAGATAATAAAACATATAGGAATACATGAATAATTCACAGAGTGTGATTTATCATAGGTAAAAATAAATATCTGGTCTTTAAATTTATTGTGGGCACTTATTTCCAGATATAAATACTCATAAATACTCATATAGGGCTTCAACAGCATACTTAAATTATTTTAAATGCTTTGCAAAGATTCATAACCAACTTCAAAATCATCTCTTTTCTTCTAGAGAGAGACAGAAAACAGAAGGAATGACTTGAAATGTTCATGCTAAATTATTGCAAGGAAGTCAGAAAACATAAAAGAAATAATTAACATGCTGCTTCCTCTCTCTCTTTCAGATTAGTATTTTTGCTAGGTTTTGTGGCATATCTGGATCTCTCCAAATTTGACAAAATAAGAGATGATTTATTCCACTTACCAAAATATTTTCCCTATTTTTAAAGAGTGCTGTTATTGTATTCAGACTGTCAATAATTTAATGCTATTTAATTCAGATAAGACAAAGTGTAATAGTCTGACTTACTCCCTGTGATATAGCAAATAAAAAGTTATCACAGGGAGTAAGTCAGACTATTACACTTTGTCTTATCTGAATTAAATAGCATTAAATTATTGCCAATCTGAATAAAATAACACAGTACTCTTTAAAAATAGGGAAAATATTTTGGTAAGTGGAATAATGTAAATCCATGGCTAATTCATGTCAATGTATGACAAAAACCACTACAATATTGTAAAGTAATTAGCCTCCAACTAATACAAATAAATGAAAAAAAAAAAGCAAAGAAACAAAAAATGCCACAAGTCTGTACGACAGACCTCAATTTGAGTATCAGCCATGCCACTTACTATGATTTAGAGGTCTTCATGTGGGTTAATTACCCTGTCTGAGCTTCAATGGGTATGCATGAGAGTTGCCATGAAAATGAAATGGTAAACTATATTACCAATAATGTGGTGGTTTAGTCACTAAGTCCTGTCCCACTCTGGCGACCCCACAGACTGTAGCCTGCCAGGTTCCTCTGTCCATGGGATTTCCCAGCAAGAATACTGGAGTGGGTTGCCATTTCCTTCTCCAGGGGATCAGCTGCCATTTAATGTGGCTTACTGTGAGTTACACACTACATAAATGCTTTATAGATTTAAAAATTAATCTTTATAGCATCCCTGTTGGGTAGGAGCCATTTTGGTCCCATTTTACAGATGTGGAAGTAAACAATAGAGATGTTAAATCATCTACTTAAAACTGTACAAATCTGGCAGGAGTGGAATTCTAACTGGTGTTTAGTTTGGTTATATACTGCTGTGTAACAAAACTATCCAAAATGAGCAACTTAAAACAGCCATTTTATTAACGCTCATGATTTTATGGGTTTACTGGACTGAACTGGGTGGTTCCTTTGCTCCACAAAATATCAACTGCAGCTGCAGCCATCTGGGGGTGGTAGTAGGGACTGTAATGTCTGAGATGGTTCTTCACAAACCTGCCACTCAGTATTGACTATCTGCTGGGAGCTCTTGTAGTGCTCTTGGGACTAAAATGCCTCAGTACCCTTCTTTTTTTTATTTTATTTTATTTTATTTATTTATTTATTTATTTTTAATATTTTTTTCATTTATTTTTATTAGTTGGAGGCTAATTACAATATTGTAGTGGGTTTTGTCATACATTGACATGAATCAGCCATGGATTTACATGTATTCCCCATCCTGATCCCCCCTCCCCCCTCCCTCTCGACCCGATCCCTTTGGCTCTTCCCAGTGCACCAGGTCCCTAACCCTAACCCTAACCCTTCTTTGCAGTATACTGCATGTGGCCCCTCCATATGGACTGGCTTTGCTTAGCACTCGAGGCTGAGTCATGTGTCAGAGTGTTTCCAAAGGACAAGTTCCACTGTACAAATATGTAAGATGCTTCCACTTTCATCACATTTGTTAACGTACCACAGGCCAAGGCTAGTCACATGAACAAGCCAAGAATCAATTTGGAAGAGAACAACACAAGGGCATGAAGACTGGAAGGTTCTACTAAGGTCACTAAGTTTACAGCCCATAGTAACAGTTGACATCAAAAGCACTCTTTACTGTCCTCCAAGTTACCATGCCTATCAGTAATCTGCTCTCCTTGGGTAGCGTGTTAGCTAACGCCTGTGAGAAGGACTTTGGAGTTCCAGGCACAATTACATGTTTTTAGCAAGCATTTACATCTTTCTTCCTCCAAATATAAGATGAAATTTCAATTTCATTTACACAGTTTAAAAAAATTCAGTTTTATGAAAGAAAAATGCCTCTCAAAGATTTAAATAATTTTTATGAGTTTTTTATGTCCATTCTGTATTAAGTTTTATATGTTATAACTCATTAGTGAATAAAATAAGGAGAAATATTAAGCTTTATATCTTGTCATTATTCACATAAAAGTGAATATATTGCAATCTGTTTCTTGGAGTATATGACTAATTTGGGATTTTTAAGAATTTTTTTCCCCAAAGGAAAGTTTTTTGATTCTATTTCTGTAAAAACAGGATTTTTATTTCAGAAACTGTAATTCATTTCTTGATTTTTATAAATTAAAATAATACAGTTCTAATGGAATTTATAAGGATGAGTTGCATAAAGAACTTTTTATTTGAAAGCTTTACTTTAGATAATGCATTCTATATTTGTATATGACATTTATTTCCAAATAGAACTAACTTAATGACCCCAAGTATTTTAAATGCTTCTCCTATATTGAAGTTTGGGCAGTTTTAGAAGAACTGAAATGCTTATAGAAATTAGAAAAACATATATAACCCTTTACCTTGATTTATTACTTCAAGTTAAATTAGTAAATGCTTCACAGGTAATAAAAAGCATTTCAAAGCTGTTTGGCAACCAATGCAAACTCTGATATTGTCATAGCCTAATACCAAGACTCCGAGGGGTGATATCTGAACTAAGTTATGCTTGTAATAGCTGTGATATTGCTATTAAACATTTTTTAAAAAAATAATTGAGATATATGTATAAAAGAAAATCAGTACTTACTTTTTGTAACAACACCTTCTAAGCGAATGATGTTTGGGTGGTCAAACTGACCCATGATACTTGCTTCTCTTAAGAAATCTCTTCTTTGCCGATCCATGTGGCCACCTTTCAAAGTCTTGATGGCAACTGGGATCTCTCTCTTCCCTGGTGTTTTCAAACGTCCACTACAGACTTCTCCAAATTCACCTGAAAATATGAAAAAAAGTAGTTCTTTGTTTTAACAGAATACTTATATTCCAGAAAAAACAAATTGCCACAAAGTACCATGTTCATGTTTTTTTAAAATAGTGACTCTCAAGTGGGCCATTTTTACATAGAGGTCTCCTCTTTAAAAATTTAATTTGTAATGACATATGCCTGATCAGCATCATTTATAATGAATAATGGAATGCATTTTCATATGCTGTACCACAGGAAGTGCCATTGATAGATAGCCCTGATCTGCTGAGAAATTATGACTAGCAGAATGCGTGATGCTAATGTAATTCTATAGAAAAGCAATCACTGCATAACATTTCCTGTTCCTGTTCTCCATACTGATATATGGGCCAAATGCCTGCTCTATTCAGGGAATCCTTCAGGCATATGTAGTTGATTTGATTCCACAAGCCATATGTCTGGGCTTCACTGCTATTAGAAATCAATGCTAGGGTCAACTGGTATACATACATATTGAAAAGATCACACTGAACTCAACTATAATGAGTGACTGATGAGGCTAAATTGTACATCGCATGGTTTGAATACAAGTATAGTAAGATCATCTATAGTTCAGCAATGGCTCCAATGGACAGATTAAAAAATAGACAAATATTTATCATGAATTTACTACAAATGTATCTAGGGCTAGAGTGCTGTGGGTTTCAAAGATGTATAAGAGTTGATGTCTGTTCTTTGCAGCTTATAATCTGTTGGGAGAATTTAGATGAAATACTGAATAATGAAATAATTGGGAACCTAAGAACCAGTGCCTGTAAATGTTGTATTATTTTAGTAAGAACAATAGGAGCTGGAAGACTTCTTCAAGGAGATGGAACTTTTGTTGGATCTTGACTGATTGGTAGGATTTGTATAGTCAAGAAAAGCAGCAAAATTTCAGACAGGGGTATATGGAGAGAGGGAAATGAAGACAAAGATTCAAAGATCAGAAACAGTAAACAGTGATATGGATACAGGGCAGGAGAAGACAAGGCTGACTACAGGAGTTATTGTGGGAAAGGAGGTCAGAGGCCTTCTCATGCAATGCAATAAATTCAATAAAGCTTGACATTCCAGACCATTTTCTATGATCAATTCCCTGCATTAATGTAAGAATATGATGTTTGATCAACAGTTTATCTATGAAGTAAATATAATAAAATCTTCTGTAATTCTATAAATGTCTCTTCCCCATAAGGAAACTGAAAAGATAAAAAGTAGTAATATATGTAAAAGTGCTTATAAACTGTAAAGTACTATTCATGTGCTTTAAGTTATATAAATTTTAGAGGTGAAAGAAAATGAAAGGAAAGGTGAAAGGAAAGATGAAAGAAATGAAAATTAAAATACCTTCAGTTGGTTTATTAGCTAGCAGTTCTGGACAGTAGCTTGATGCTATGTAAGTTTAAGTATAGAGGATAAAATTTAATTTTTACAGCACCATAGATTTCAATTATCCATATTTTCTTTGGACCAATTCATTACAGTCAACTGAACATTGACTATTCATGAATATTAACTATCTTTTGGAACAGATGCTAAGATTCTTTTCTAAGTGAAAAACTGAAAAGGAAAAGCCAAAACTTTGCTTCCTAAATTATGTGCAAACTTGTTCGTTAGAAATAGAAAGCAGTCTAACAAGAATTTTTTATATATATGACAAATAAACTAATAAACAAGCAAACAAAAAACTGACTAGAATGTGGTCCCTAAATTCAGTGCAAGTGATATCGGGCAAATCTTACATAATTTGACATTAAAACAAGAATAGTTTTGTTTTGTTTGTTTTTTTTTGCTTAATGATGCTCTCAACACGTTGGAAGTTAAATGTTCTTTATGTTCACTGGGGCTTCCCAGGTGGCACCAGTGGTAAAGAATCCACCTGTCAATGCCGAAGACACAAGAGACATGGGTTCAGTCCCTCAGTCTGGAAGATCCCCTGAAGAAGGAAATGACAACCCACTCCAGTATTCTTAGCTGGAAATTGCAGTATTCTTAGGGAAATTCCATGGACAGAGGTGCCTGGCGGTCACAAAGAGCTGGACATGACTGAGCACATGTGTGCATGTTCACAGGGAAAAGAAGCCTCAAGTCCCAGTTTTGTTTGTAATAGTGTTTTTAATTTTTTTAAAGATTTTCTCTTGGACATAAAAAATTGGTTAGTGATAGAAATTTTCTACACTTTTATATTGAGGCTGTGAACTTTGAGAATAAACGTATTTGTTTAAATTAATGTCTGATATATCTAGGCCTACTAGAATAGTTGAAATTTCTCCTCAGATCACTCTGGTTTGTTTTAATGAATATCAAGAACGAACAAATATGCTTTTCTTCTTCCTTTTATTTTGCCTTAATAAACTTGTTAGTATATATAAAGATTCAATGATATTTTAATACCTCTCACCTGCCATGAGCCCAGACTGCAAGTGATTTTCTGTTAACATTTCACAGTAATTCAAATAAACTGAAATGAATAGCGAGCTCTGTTGGTATTTTATCAAGACAGGCAGAGTGGCAATTTTCTTTGGTCTTCTGTTGTCTGAAATTCAAATATCTTATTAACACCAAGCAGGTATATTCTTCATGTCAGGCTTTGCGTGATCAAGCTGTTATCACACTTATTTCAGTGACACTAAATATGGCTGCCTCAATTAAAGAGCTGAGACTCCTAATGCATTCTTTAGGCAAAGCCCCAAAAATTCAGTCATAGAATGTAAAAAAAAAACCCTTATCTATGGTAGGCCTGGATGAATCAGACAAATCAGTCAAAGAGGAAAAAATATTATAAGTTAAATGCATATTTTAAGATATTGCCAAAAATGAATCCATTCTATGATTTCTCTTAAAGCAAGAGGAGAGGCCCTATACATTATCACAGGTAAGATGACTCATTCCTTAACAAGATCTGTGAACTTTTATATATACTGGTTAGTTCATAACTAACACATCAAGTATAGAAATATGTTGTTAAATACTTTTTTTCTTTTACCAATACAATGTCACCATCGTTACCACACAGCAAGCACTTATGAAATGCTTATCATGAGCCAGTCTACCACAAAACTTTGAGGCGGGTACCATTAATATCTTCACATTATAGAAGAACCTGAGACATATGAACTAAGTAACTTGTTCATGGTAACTTAACTACAAAGCGGTAGAGCTTTAATTTGAATCCAGAAAATCTGGCTTCAGAGTGCGTGGTTATAATTACTCTTCTTTGCTGTGTGGCATACTTATCATTGTTAACGTATTTTGTGTCAATATGCTAAATTTGCATTTGGCAATAATGATGTCTTCAAACCCACTATTATATAGTGTCTAAACACATCAACTGGATATGCACAGGTAGATGGAATGATAAAACCATATTATTAGGAATTCTTCACTATAAAATGGAAGTAGAGACCTCACTTAAACACTCTGCATATTAGAAGTACTGGAAAAATCACTACAGTCAATCTAGTTTCAAGAGAGTAAAGAAAAATATATCTAGGATAATTGATCTGCCACTGACAGCCCATGCACTTGCTAACAATCCCATCTATTTCCCTGGATGGTGGTAAAACCTTTCGGACAAGCAATTTTATTGGATGATATACAGGGTCATACTAAGTTATCAGTTATCAATTGGATTTTCCGCATAAAGCCTAGGTGGTCTAACTAAAACTGTGGAGGAGGGTGGAGGGAAGAAGGAAAGTCTGTCTTGGAGAACTGTCATGTCACCATCCCCTGGAGACTTGCTGAGATTTTACTCCTCCTGTCTTGAGATTCTGGAACTCCCTCACCTCCAACCCCTTGAGAATCACTGAAGCAAAGAGTCACACTTCTGATGTATTTTTTTTCAAACATTACCTCTCAGGTATAATGAGATGTTTCTTCACACCTGCTGTTTCCCTCTGACAGGAATGCCCTCCACAACTTGTCCCCCTTTTCCCCTGGTTTCCATTCTCCTCAGTTCTTCTCTATGTGATGCCTTCATATAAGCAGTAAATGCCAAGCTTTCCCCTCTTCAGAAAATTTTTTCTGATTAACTCATCCGATATAATTTCCCAAATATCGTGCATGCATGCTCAGTTGCATCCTACGCTCTGTGACCTCGTGGACAGTAGCCCACCAGGCTCCTCTGTTCATGGGATTTTTCAGGCAAGAATGCTGGACCGAGTTGTTATTTCCTCCTCCAGGGGATCTTCCCCACCAATATCAGGTCCCTCCAAATAAGAAAAAAAAAAAAAATAGCAGCTCTGCAATGAGAAGCCAGTCTCACTCTCAGAGCTGGGCTGTTATTCTCCTATCAGACATCATACCAATCTCATCAAGGTTACTCTGAGACACAATATAATGAGACCAAGCAAGACTACTGCATCATTTTGCCTAAGCACAGAAGAAAGCACAAGGTCACATTGCCCAAAATACTAAACATCTCCTACTCTCATGGCTAACATGAGTGATGGTTACTTCTCTACCAGTTACTGGGCTGGCCAAAAAGTTTCTACAGGCTTTTCACTACATGTTATGAAAAAACCCAAAAGAACTTTTGAAAAAATATCTATCCAGTTCAGTTCAGTTGCTCAGTCGTGTCTGACTCTTTGCGACCCCATGGACTACAGCATGCCAGTCCACTTTGTCCATCATCTACTCCTGGAGTTTACTCAAATGCATGTCTATTGAGTTGGTGATGCCATCCGACCATCTCATTCTCTGTTGTCGTCCCCTTCTCCTCCTGCCTTCACTCTTTCCCAGCATCAGGGCCTTTTTATATGAGTCAGTTCTTTACATCAGGTGACCAAAGTATTGGAGTTTCAGCTTCAGCATCAGTCCTTCCAATGAATACCCAGGACTGATTATCTTTCAGATGGACCTGGGATCTCCTTGCAGTCTGAGGGACTCTCAAGAGTCTTCTATAACACCACAGTTCAAAAGCATCAATTCTTCAGCTCTATTAGGTTGGTAGTAATTGTGGTTTTGCATTGTTGAAATTTGTCGTT